GTGTGGCTCAGTGGTAGAGCACCTGCCTAGAATCCCCCAGTGAGGGGCTGGGGTGTGGCTCAGTGGTAGAGCCCCTGCCTAGAATTCACCAGTGAGGAGCAGGGGATGTGGCTCAGTGGTGGAGCACTTGCCTAACCTGGGATCAAGCCTTAGTAGGTTTGGCCAGGCTGACTCAGGATGAGGGGAAGGCAGAAGCCACAGCTTTCATTGTGGTTTCCAGGAGAAAGGCAGAGAATCAGGCAAACAACTTAGAAAGCTTAGAATGGCCAGTTTGAGTCATTCTGGAGGCTAATTCTAGGGCAGGTTCTGACTGGCTGGTACCTGGCCCTGGGATTCTTCAGGGCAGAAGAGTGTATTGGCTTGTGTGTGAGGGTCTGGAGGATGGTGGATAAGAACACAGCCCTGGATCGACTGCTCTGCGTGTGACAGGCTTGTTCCAGGCAAGCCAGCTTGCAGCAAAGAGGTCAGCATGTAAGGTGTGGGAAAGCAGTGAGAAGTGCTGGCCTCTTGCCTGTCGGTGTTGGCTGGCCATCTGATGGCTGTCTGAGCTCTGATCTGGTGTCAGAAGAGGGAAGAGCAGCCACCGATACCCCTCCTTGGTGGTGGCGAGGCTCCCACTGTTTGGAGAATGAATAGGTTGGGTAGCTGTGAGGCGGGTGACTTCTTTAGTCAACGTCTGGCCATCTTCAGCAAACCCTAAAATGGTGTTTAGTGCCAGGTGTGGCGTTGCATGCCTGTAACCTAGCACTGGGGAGGCTGAGGCAGGAGAGTTGCAAGTTCCAGGCCAGCCTGGGCTACATGGAGAGACCCTGCCTCAAAAGTAAAGCAAAGGTTTCAAAGGCTAAGTAATTGGCAGAAGTACCCTGAGTCACGGTGCCTCGGGGTGTGGTCAGTAAGGATGTGTGACCCCAAGTCTGGCGACTGGAACTTGTGCCACACGGTGAAGCAGGAGCCATGTGGCATGTCAGGTTTTAGGTGCCACTGAGCCCATGACACTCCAGGTGGGTAGAGCTATCTGGTGGTGATCACAAGGATTATGGGAGGCGGGCCGAAGCATGGTGGAGACGTTCACAGAGTCCAATTTCCCTGCCTGTCTAGAAGACTGGGCTTCTGCTCCCCACAATCCTCTCTGTACCCCAGCTCTGTGTTTTTCTACAGCTGGGCCTCCTCTGCTGACCCAGGCTGGCCCAGAGCCCTGCCTTAGTCAGCACTGACCAGCCCGGCCCCACTTGCTGTACTGACCACAAAGGACAGCTCGGTTTCACATCCCGTTTCCAGGAAAGCACTGACTAGGTCAGGTGTCTGTGGCCAGGGTACGGTGCGGGAAGCGGGGTGAGCGAAGGCTGATATCTTGCAAGTGTGAACCCCAAACCGGCGGATGGGCAGTGCTGTTCAGATGTGTCCCCCGTCCTCAAGGGACAAGGGAGTGCCTGGGAGAGAATGACCCGGGTCCTCATGTTTGGCTTCCTTAGCTGTGCAGACCTGAGGCCCTGCAGAGCGCCATCACTCACCTCCACAGTGGTTGTTCACACATTGGTGTCTGTGTGTGAGGTCCTTGATGTGGGGAGCAGGATGCACAGCTTGCATGGCAGTGACAGGTGGTAGGGTGGATCCTAGTGTTCCTGGAATCCAATTCTGATCCCTCTGGCATTGCTGACCAGCTTCTCCCCGGCCTAGTGGACCCCTCCCAGCATGGGCCTCATGACTGCATTTCCAAATACTTTCTTTGTGGTCCTACCGTCTCCTAGCCCTTTCTCAGCCTGCACCAGATGCATTTTGTGCCTCAGCCCATCCCTTGCTCCTCCTGTGTCAGGTCCTCCCTGGATCAAAAGACCTACCTCCTGAGTCCTGCATCCTGCTGCTCCCAATGTGATGCTAGGGAGGTCTGGATCAAGTTCACACTGTCTCCTACTAGTCAGTCAGGCATTGGCCAAGTGCCTGGGGGTGAGAGAAGCCTGCTGGCAGGTTATAACATGCAGGTTGTCCCGGTTACCAATAGCTTCTGGAAATCAGATCTACAAGTCATGCTGCATCGGGCCCTGCCCCTGCCCTCTCAGAGGATTTGACAATTCTTCAGACCCACGACTAAGACACTGCCTATAAAACTGCTGTTCATCCCTTTCCTATATAGTCACTGAGAGCTCAGACAGTCTCCTGTAGGAGCAAAGGTTGGCCTCCACCTGAACATCAGAGGGACCTCCCCGATGCCCCAACACCCCCAGGATCTCTCCTATACCAGTATCCCACCAACAGTCCTGTTTCTGCTCTGACTTTGCTATACCCTGTCAAATCCTCACCCCCCACAAGACATTCCTGTAGACTCCTCTGCCCCACCGGTCTGTCCATCACATGACTGTCTGCCTCGAGACTGTCTCTCTCTCTCTTTTTTTTTTCTCGAGACAGGGTTTCTCTGTGTAGCTTGGCACCTTTCCTGGGACTCACTTGGTAGTCCAGGCTGGCCTCGAACTCACAGAGATCCGCCTGCCTCTGCCTCCTGAGTGCTGGGATTAAAGGCGTGCGCCACCACCGCCCAGCAAGACTGTCTCTTTCTTGATTCTAACCATAGCAACATTCTCCAGCTCTACTTTTATAGACGTATAAGGTGCATCCTCACACAGGGATACATATGGCCATGAAGGTTAGGCCTAGGCCCTAGTGTGGTGCATTGGAGTGGAGATGAACCTACTGTCTTGGAGAGTTGGGGTTCAGCGTGTTGACCAAGCTAGACACATCTCCAAGCTTACTGCTAAGCAGTCAAGAGCCCTTCATGGAGCTCCCAGGGCAGACCCATTCTCCCTCTTGATGTGAGACCCAAGTAGTAGTTGTAGAATCGTGGTCCGGTACCCGTGACACCCCCCAGAGATGAGGAAACAGGTAACAGTGATGCTCTGTGGGCCTTATAGGATAGAGGGTTTGTGAAAAGGCTGAGTTGGGCTGGCAGTGGTCCAGTCGTCTGGACAGACAGGCCACCTAAACCCAGAACAAATGTGGGTGCAGATGGACAAGTGTTCTGGCTGAGACAGGAAGAAAGCAAGATGTTGATTTAGGACCTTGATGAAGTCCGTGTAGGAGGAAAACAACCCCAATCTCACTGGGCTCTGCCCACCAGGAACCACTCACCCTGCACCTCAGGAAGGAGAAATCCTCCAGGTCATATGAGGTGGACACCGAGGTCTCCACAGGATTCTCCGGTTAGTGGCTTTATTTGTCGGCAGGAGCCAGGTCCAGCCTGGGGGCACCTTGCGGGTTCTCTTGAGACCCTGTTCTGCTAGCTTTGGCTCCTGGGCTGGGAGTGGAGTGCACAGCTCCTGTTTCCTTGGCGAAACACCTGAGACTGGGGCAGGAGGCTGCATCCTCGGGCCACGTGTGAGCATCAGGAGCAGAGGAGCTGGCATGCACCTCACTGAGCTGGTACCCTTGATGCCGCAGAGAATGAAGCTCTGAGGATGGCCACCCCCACATTAGGGACAAAGGTGGCCTTCCCTTCCCTCCTTTTGTTTCTCCTTCCTGTTTCTTCTTTCTCCTCCTCCTTCCCATTTCCCTCCACTCCTCCCTCAAATCCTTTTTTCCTTTCTTACTTTCTTTTTTTGGTCCTTCCTTCTTTCCTTCTTTCCTTCCTTCCTTCCTTTCTCTCTCCCTTTTCTTTCTTTTCTTCCTCAGGGTCTCATGTAGTCCATGCCAGCCTAGAACTCACTATATAGCCCAGGCTGGCCTCAAAATCAGGCTCCTCCTGCCTCAGCTTTCTGTGTGCTGTGAGCCACCACACCTTGTTCAAAGATGGCGTTTCTGACTTAGCTCTTTGATGTTCTTGTGAGCAGATTGGATAATAGGATGCTCAGAAGGTACTGGACTGGCCATCAGTAGTTCATGCTGGGCACCTGCTGTATGGCAGGCACTGTGCTGGCCTCTGGGTGTCAGGCCAGAGTGTCCCAGCCTGCCCTCCTCTGGGGACTTGTCATCAAACAGTTTCTGGAACAATAGGGAAGTCACTATTGTGGCAGAGGCGAGGAGGAGAGGGGCAAAGGATAGGGGCTCCATTGGGGGTGACATGGTGAGGGCTTCCCTATGAAGGGACCCCAAAGAGCTGAAGCTGAGGAGGAGTGAGTGAGGGAGTGGGATAGGAGAGTGGGGACAGCCCTCACTTCCATGGGAGGGGTCCTGAGGATGGGGGAAGCAAAGACACAGGAGCTACGAGGCAGTTGGTAGGCAGGCGACCATGTCATCTTCCTGAGAGACTGGGGTACAGAGGGCTGAAGTGGGGTCCTCCTGCAGCGCTTCCCAGTCAGAGGCCACAACTGGAGAGAATGACTTTTCAGAGGCATCATGACAGGTGCCTGGAGTCCACTGAGGAAGTAAACTCGGAGAGAGCCTTGCTCTTCCGTCTGTAAAGTGGGCCCGGCCTTTGTAGCAGGTTGGATTAGATAAACATTTGGAAGTCATGGCAGACTTGCAGCTGAGTGTAAGGGTGCCCTGCCTGGCCCTGGGAGAGCCCATACAGCAGGGCAGGTGTGGTGTCTCTCACTCATGCTGGCTAATAATGGCTTTATCTTCATTCTCTCATGTGGCATTCAGTTGACGCCCCATAAATGTTTGGGAACTTAGGTTCTCCTGCGGTGAGAGGCTGAGCCCACCAAAGGACCAGGTGAATCCTGACTCTGCTACTAACTGGCTGTGTGCCCTGGAAAACATTTACCTTCTCTGAGCCTTATTTCTTTACCTGGTTAGGATACCTCTAGTGTCTTTTCACATATTTTAGATAAAAATCTCAAATTTTAAATGAAAAAAGGTTTATTTTTACTTATGTGTGTAATGTGGGGGAGGATGGGCTGCACATATGTGTGCAGAGGCCAGAGAGGGCATTGGATCCCCTGGAGCTGGAGTTACAGGCAGTTGTGAGCTGCCCACCGGGGGGTGCTGGGAACCAAACGCTGGTCCTCTGCAAGAGCAGCAAGTGCTCTTAACCACTGAGCCATCCCCTCAAGTCCCCCAAACCCAACTTTATACAAAGTGTGCTGAGACCCAGACTACACTGGCAGCCAGGGATTCTGCTTAAATTCTGTGTTTTCAACCCCAGCCTGCGAGGTGCACAGGGATGACATGCCTGTCAACTTTTGCTTGGTGCATAGTAGGTGTCCAGTAAGATGTATCAGATGACAAAGCCCCTCTTTTCCTGGCACTGTGTTAGTTTTTAATATTTGTTTATTTAATTTTATGTGCATATGTGTGTGCCTGAGTGTATGTTTGTGCCTCGCATGTGTGCGGGAGCCCATGGAGGTCAGAAGAGGGCCTTGGATCCCCTGGAACTGGAGTTACAGATGGTCGTGAGCAGCCATGTGGGTGCTGAGAATTGAACCCGGGTCCTCTGCAAGAGCAGAAAGTGCTCTTAACCGCTGATCGATCTCTTTCGCCCCCTTGGGGCTGTGTTCCACATGGTCACACAGGACATTGTAGTAGGATGGCCTGTGGAGGCCTCCATGCAGAAGGCTGACTTGTAAGACCCCCACTAAGCTGCGGTTTTGAGACCTCACATGGCATGTGCTGGGTGCCAAGGGGAATTAAACATGTCTTGTTCTTTGTCCTACTGAAATGGGGGGGCGGAGACTGGACACACAGGGTCAAGACTCCACTATCCTACAGGACTGGGCTACACTGCTTCAAGTCTAGAGGGTCCCTCCTTGAGTTCCACCCACACATGACTTCATGAAGACTTGAACTGTGGACTGGCTGGGCCCAGTGGAAGCTTGTGTTCAAGCCATGAGCAGAGTACCCCACCAAACCCGCTTTCCACCCATAGGTGAGCGGACATTTCTCTCCCAACAGCTGCCTGCAGTGGGAAGTTGGAACAGCACACTGAACGGCGAGGGGTCATCTACAGCCCAGCCTGGCCCCTCAACTACCCGCCGGGCACCAACTGCAGCTGGTATATTCAGGGTGACCGTGGTGACATGATCACCATCAGGTAAGCGGAGCCTCTGTGCGACTGCGCATGTGTGTAGGCCTAGCAGGTGTGGAGGGCACACATGTGGGTGTGGACAGGTGTGATGTGCAGAAGCCCAGGACTTAGCAGGGATGACGTGTGTGTGTGTGTGTGTGTGTGTGTGTGTGTGTGTGTGTGTGTGTGTGTGAGAGAGAGAGAGAGAGAGAGAGAGAGAGAGAGAGAGAGAG